CTGGCCACCGCTTAAGCATAACAAAGCCGAGGTTTAATATGACCGAAGCTGTATGTCGTACAAGCGGCACGCCAACAGCGCAAGATGGTGGTGGTTGACTAACAACAAGTCTACCTGCCCGCTGGCGCCTTCCTGTCGTTCAACGCTGTGACGCGTCACGGTCACACGGCCCATCTCGGCGCATGCAGCCTCAGTTTCGAGTCCGGCTCGGTGCACTGGCACCAACTTGCTCTGCATAAACTACTTAGTGCTCCTGCTTACGGCACCCTGATGTCGTCTCTGCGTAGCAAATGCCGGACTGCGACCTGACAGTGCGGCAATCCAGCAAATACTTGCCGACACGGCTACGCGAGGTCCTTCGGAAACTCCGCTGGGAAAGTAACAGCAACTTGGAAGGCAACAGCACCAGCTGTCGGGATGCTCAAGTTTTTCGGCCGTCCATTCCGCACATGATGTAGCTTTTGAGGCTCTCTTTCTACAGCAGCGCACGAGGTAGGCGGCTGCTCCGCTGAGTTCTCCTCATACACTCACTGAAACCAGTTGTTCTCTAGGCAACGCCTTGGCACCTCGTTTCGACACGGGGCCATGTAGCTGGTAATCTGCTGTTCATGATGACGAAGGTGCATACGTCTACAGGCATCGTGTTGCTCAGCCTCTGCCGACTCTAGAAGCATTCAGCCAATAGCATGACCGAAGACATGTCTCCTTGCAACCACGAAAGGCACTCCCTTTGTCGAAATGAACCAATTTTCCTGCCTCTCCACCGACGCCTACAGCGCATTTTGGATGAGGAGCCGATGCTCGCACGCGTCGTTTACGTCGTCCTCCCCGGCGACTCCGACCGATGGTCCGCGTCATATCCCCCCGTCCAACGATTCTCCCCATCCTCATGTTGTGTCTTCTGGCCATATCTTTCGGTTCTCGAGGTGCGCTAACTGTATGCGATGTATAATCTATAGGGCTGATCTCAATCATAGGTGCATATGACCACACCATTCCGACATCAGCGTCGGCGCATGCAGCCAACGACTCCGCTAGCCAAGAGTGAATGCGGACGGAAGTAATATCGCGGCGCCACGCTAGCGTTACATGGTGGGAAGGAGCATCTCCTCCACCGTCATCTCTGCAGAAGGTGCTTCTTGCGATATATGCATATCCGCTTCACGGACATCTCATCCATGTGCCCCTTCCGCAGGCAGGCACTACGTACATAGTACGGGCAGCCTATCTCTCTTCGGCTAGTGCGACGGAGTCGGAGATCCCGGAGCCGTCTCAGAAGCAGAGGGCAAGGAGGCAGGCACTATTCGCCTCGTGAGAGCGATAGCGTCGAGTGCTTCGGCGGCCTCTCGCAGATGCGACGCGTACCGGGGATTGCAGCATAGATCCTCGCCTACACTGCGACGTTTGAGCCAGAAGGAAGTGGATCAGGTCAGCTTGGAGCAATGGATCGTTCTTGCTTGTTCGAGTGCTCACCACGCTTCGCTGCTTCGTCTAACGGCAGGGCCGTCTGTTCTCGCTGCACATACGACATCCTGCAAATTCGCGTGTGGTTGCGGAAGCTCGCATCCCCCATCTGACTGGCTCTACTTCCAGAAAGCGCGCAACCCCTGAATTAGCACGACTTCGATCTCCCTCTCGAGGACTGTGATCACAGCCACGACAGACTGCGCGGTCTGCAACATAGCGAAATCTTCGTCTCTCCCCGGTGACTTCGGACTGGAGCATCGTGTTTCATCGAGAGCACGCAAACCCCGCTGGACGATGTTCGGTGCCTGCACCGGCTGTGCTCGTTTGCGGGTGGGGTGGGGAGTAGGAGTATCGTTCATATCAGAACACAGCGAACATGTCATGGGTGACTTGTCGCAGCCCATGTGCGTAGCGCTCGCCTGCTTCTGCCTTCTCTCACTGCGTACAGCGGGCGACTCAGCGCAGGCAGTAGAAGCCCCCCGCAGAACGCACGGGACGCTTCCGGCGCGCACGGGCGTACCGGGAGCCGGAGCTGCTCCGGTCCATCATACCGCATTCAGGCAGCTTCGACGGGTGATGAGCCCTCTGTCCGCCACCAAGACTTGTGTGCATTCCGTGCACGCATGGCACCCGGGTCAGCCTCCCTCCTGTAGGCCAGGCTGGGCAGTGTGCTTGTCAAGCATGCATGGGCTCGCCCATCTCCGAGATGGCTGACGTCAAACGTATGAAGTATATCACCTCAGGGTCCGTGTGGACGAGCTTCCCCCGATTGCTGTGCAGAAGAGCAGATCGTGCCGAGGGCTGGACTGCACCGAAGAATCGTTCTCAGAACATAGCGGTCTTTTGTGCGTGCCAATGCCCATGTTCTCGGCGTACTGATGTTCAGGACGAACCAGGCAGGAATTACACGAAGAGGGCGGAACATTCTTCGCCGACAGACGACAGACGACGCACTAACGTCAGGCAAGCACACCGCTGTATGGCCGTTCCCAATTTTGGCTGGCACTTCGTACGTGAGCTCTGAAGTGGCGACTGGCGACTGATGGATTCGAACAACAGCGGAGAACCGTGCAGGTCTCGTTCGATGCAGCAAGCGAGCGCACGAGAGGGGAGACCACAGCTCGGCCGGGCATAACGGTGGACCGACGCACATTTCCGAGCGTGCCGACGTATTGTGCCCAAGTGGCGAGGTATCTCCCATGACGGTCCCGCCCTACGTCAGCATGACCCCCTCGTATCTCGCGCAGCTGATCCAGCGTGAGGCCCGCTATCCAATGCAAGATTGCTCCGCCCTTTCGCGGAGCCCGTCGTGAGCCCGGGCTCGGGTTGTACCGAGTGTCGTCGATATCGTGAACCAACAAAGCTACACCGTAGGTCATGGTACCGGAGCACCCACCGTATGGGTGGGAAGGACGGGTTCGGGGAGACATACGGCCGTCGGCGCGGGGTGGAGCGTCGAGCGCCTAGCTCTGGGCGAGGCACTTGCAGGACTACCCGAAGGGTAAGTATCTCGGGGCGCCTCCAAGCGACATACATATCAGCCGAAGTATTGAAATGAACCCGCGCATGAAGAGGCCTAGAGGTTCAGGTGCCAATAACCTAGGTACGCGGGGCATGATGGTAGGTAAGCATAGGTAAGTATGCAAAAGACCGACGTGACAGGACGCGTCCTGGCAACCGAGTAAGTGTCGGCTAGCTATAGCTGCTTAATATCTGTTCGCTTTGCGCTACTGTCTTAATTAACGGCGCGTTGACAGGCTAGGAAGGTGTGTGGAAGGGGTCGGCGTTCAGCCTGTCCGCCGGCGCACTCCGCGAGCACCCCCTCCCGTCGAGCCGCCTCGGTGGATGGTGCGTGCATTCAGCGGGAGAGCTCCACCGACGATGCCCTGGGTGGCCTCCCCGTGTCACGATTAGTCCGCGAACCCGGCAGGCTCGTCGATGATCGTGTCGGATCACTGCGTTCAGGTTCGCCTTGCCGCCTAAGACGAGGCGTCCGAGGATCACCAAGGCGGCCGCTCCCTCTGCCTCGAGTGTTCTAGTTCCCAGAGCCCCCGAGAAGGGCGAACGGGAAGGGAGCGGGAGCGGGGCGGCCTGCTTCAGGACGAGTGTGACGTTATTGTAGCGGGAGAAGGCTGTCGACCGCGTACGTCGTCGGCTCAGGATTCAGGCTGGGCCGACCTGTTTGAATCGTGGAGGATTGTCATCACTGATCAGTGAATGGCTCTTGTCGCGAGTGGCGAACCGTGACGACGGTACGTACATACCTCGCCTGCCTGCGGCGAGGCCTGGCAACTAAGTACTGGTAATACGGATGCGATCGAGTCGAGGCTTTGGATGCAGGAGCGAGGGTCGGTCGGTGAATAGGTGTTTATGGGTCCAGCCTGGCGATTCAGATGGGTCATAGTATGTATGCCGTATTCCCGTGGAGAGAAATACTTACTCCTCTTAGCGGCTGGCCTGGCCCGGCGGCCTTGGAGCTTTGATGTGCGGCTTTCGGTTAGGAGTTGACTGTATGGTGTCACGCCTTTGCGAGCAACTGGATCGGCGGAGGTGCAGACAAGGGCTTGCCTTGTTTGTTTATCCGTGGTATCGAGTGGGGTGATGCCAGATGGGACCCCCTGCTGCACGACCTCTCGGCTTTCACGAAACTGAAGTTCCTCAGCGTAGATATGGCTCAAGAACGCCGAAAGCGTGTTTAGTGTGGAACAACCCGCGTTATTGTCCACATATTGCGACGAGCAGAAGAACTCACTGGTGAAAGCTGACATATAGACCTGCCGCCTCCCGTGGCTACCCTTCCCACTTGTGAGCCTTCCAGAGTCCAAAAGTCATGAACCACCGCAACTACACAGAGAAGATTTGTCGAACGGAGGAAGACGGATGGGTTCTGCATTGATACTCTGTCAAGGAGGCCTGGGCTAAGGTGCCTGCTCTACTACCCAGCCAGTTCGGCGTGTGAGCGTCCTTGAACGGATTGTTTGGATGGGCATGCCGCCTTCGAGAGAGCACCCGCGCACGTGAAGAACCTGAGAGTGCGCAGCAGTCGCATTCCAACTTCGCGTACGAGACCGTGGCTTGATACTGATGAAAAGCATCCCTCGGGGTATGTGAACATGTCTCCCAACGGCGCGAAAACGAATGTGAGGCTAGTAGTACCCAGCACGACAAAATCAGCAATGCTCACATGAATGGTGGCTGCTGCTTCTGACTAGAGTGATCAATAGGCTCAATTTGTGGATGCTGAAGCTGCCAGTGCCAGCAGTACTTGCCCACTGCCGGTGGTGCATCATTGCATAGACTGATGTGGAGAACGTCAGTGCGACTTCTGCTAGTATTGAACTTTGTGGGAACTCCATAGCAATTGGCTAAGTTTCGCAAGCACGGGCAGATCGCGGAATACGCGTGAGCACCAAACAGGTTGTGAACGTGCCCCCGTAATGTAGGCGTCGAGTTCTGAACTCAAAAGTTGCGGAGGCGGGCTGTAATAGACTTGTGAAGCGCTATATAATATATAATTGTTTAATATAAATAACGGTTCAGTGGTGTAGTTGGTTATCACGTCTGTCTCACAGGAAGCGCACAGGAGGTCTCCGGTTCGAGCCCGGACTGAACCATCTTGCCATGTACTCATTTTGTTCCACCACTAGGAACGCCAGTGCTAAAGGATTGGCGAAGACCTTATGATTCATAAGAACAAAGCTAACGAAGAGACCCATAATACGGAGGCATTCGGAGTACTCTGATGCTAGTGACCTATCCAAATTCTACCACAGATTTAGACTCAAGGACGTCGACCGACGCACTGAACTAAGGGAAGAAGTCGAAGCCCAGGCGTCCTTCCCGGGATATCTCGTCCTGCCGGTATTCATCGGCGAAACTCTTCAGCCACTCGGGACTCAACGCCTGCCGCCAAGGCCCGTGTCCGTTAACCGCAAACTCTGGGTTGACGATGTCCAGCAGGTAGGAATGGAAGTTGTAGATTATCTCGATGGCCTCCTTAGTCAATGGCTGTCGGTCCTGGCGGACGACGTAACACTGCAGGAAGAATAGTCAGAGTTTACGTGGCCGGGCATAACTTGAATCCCGCCCGGTCACTCACCGTTCCTGGTTCATTAAGTTGCCAGCTGCCGGCGGAGACGTCTTCGGGGTCAATCGAAGCCAGTCATGCATCACAGAAGGGCGTACGCACCGCATCGGGGCGAATCCATCGTGGGCTTCGATGCGGAGGTAGACGGCAGGTTGGTTGTTCTCTTGAGCGGGTATCCCGCCGTGGATGGAGTCGCTGTATATCACCAGGGGGTACCCGCACTTCTCGGTCACGGGGCAAAGCTCGCCCCTCGTGAAAATCGGATGAGAGGTGTTGAGCACGACGTGCTCGAACTGGCAGGACCAGGGTTGGTGTCGGTTATCGAGTATCTTGATGCCCCAGACATCGTCAGGTCCTATGGGGCGGCACATTGGCTTGTGGATCTTCCAGTGTGCCTTCTGGCACTGCGAGGACTGCGAGGACAATGTCACTCGGAGGACTACTAGGTCACCGGATAGTTGAGCATACGCAGTACACACCGGTAGCTCCATGGCAGCCAGAACAGTTCTTAAGTCCATCTGCGGGGACCTTGCCGCACTTCGAGCAACGATTCAGGGGCATCGCGTACAACAACGGGGCTGCATTGTGGGTCAGCCTCTAGAACCAAGCATCAGGTCAACGAGCCACTCACTTGATCCACGCAGTGGAGTCCTATGAAGGACAGGGACGACTGATGAAGCCTACCACGGAACTAGCCAGCGTTGATACAACTACCGTCTGCGGCAGGCCATCCGAAGGCTCGAGCGTGTCAACTTTCTCAAGCCCCTTCAAGATCTTTGGAAATTCGCGCAAGTTCTGGGAGATGCGTTGACGATGGGCATGCGAGTATTATTAGTGGTTTCTTAAAGATGCGAGTTCGTGTCGCGCGATATAAAGGACAAAGTCAGGTTGCTGTATACGAAAGTCAAAGGGCAGTGGTCACCGGCGCACAAAGTCGAGCATGACGCGGCAGCACCTGGGCAGCACAGCCCTCTTGGAGGCGCGCCTGAGCTTCAGCTTCTCGCCGCACACCTCCACCTCCCGGCCTTAATGGTACACTGAGGTACACGGCTACTTCTCTCACGATTCTACCCAACGGACTTCTCCATACACACGCGCGACCATGAGCGCAACGATCCAGTCACGACCACTTGTCCCGCACATACCAACGACTTGCTCGCAGTGTTCAGTCACTCTAGAGTTTCCTGTGCCATCGCCGGCACCACGACCTGGGACTTTGCTCAACGTCCGATGCTTCAACTGTCAGACTATCATCACGCATGCGTTCTATCCGACGCAGATACCTAGCCAGTATACGGAGAGGTTCGGCTCGACTGTAGGGGCGGGAGGCGGCGCCTCGTCATCCCAGACGCAACGAAAAGGGAGGAAGATTGGCACGCAGGAGAATCCGTTGGAGACCGGATACTACGACTTGCTCGGTGTACCTGTGAATGCCAGCACAGACGATATCAAGAAGGCATATCGTATGTTCTATTTCGCTTCTGAACTCCGCGGCGGTGCCCTATTCTTGCGCCTTCCTGCATACGCTGTTATGAGGCCCTGAACACCATTATCGCTGTAGGTCGACTTGCCATCAAGTTTCACCCAGACAAGAACCGTGATGACCCGCATGCGGAGGAGCGGTTCAAGGAGATCGCGATTGCGTACCAGACGCTGTCGGACCCCGAGCTCAGGCGCAAGTACAACGAGTTTGGTTCAAAGGAGAGCGCACCGGAGGGCGGCTTCGTGGACCCGGAGGAGATCTTCGGCACCATCTTCGGCGGAGACCGATTCGTGCCCATCATTGGCCACATCAGCCTGGCAAAGGACATGAAGGCGGCTTTGCAAGAGGAGGGCGAGGAAGGAGAGGAGGTACAACGCGATGCAAAGGGCCGAGAGATACTGAGTCCAGAGGAGAAGGCGAAGAGGGACGAGAAGGCCCGCAAGCAGCAGGCCGAGGTGAGTTCCTTCCTCGTGTGCACACAATATTGGTCTTCTGAGGATGGTGCTGCAGAAAGCTGCTGTCCGAGCAGAGCGGATATCCAAGCTTGTGGAGAACTTGGACCGCAAACTCTCGATATTCACCGAGTCTGCGGCCGGTCCGAACGACCCGCAGGTCTCGGAGAGCTTCAGGACGATCTGCAAGCTGGAGGCAGAGGAGCTGAAGAAGGAGTCGTATGGTGTCGACTTGCTTCATGCCATTGGTTTTGTCTACTTGCAGAAGGCGAAGCAATACTTGGCTTCGAATCAGTCCTTCCTCGGCATGGGCGGCTGGTTGCACAACGTGCAAGGCAAATACCATGTGTTCAGCGAAACGTATGTGCACTTCCTTTGCTACGCTAGACCCTCACGATTCACGTATCTTACAGTGTATCGACACTTCGTGCGGCGATGGAGCTGAAGAACGTATTCGAGCAGATACAAGCGGCCGAGAAGGCGGGCAACCTCACTCCAGAGGAGAAGCGACGACTCGAGGAACAGGCGGCCGAGAAGGGGCTGCAGGCGCTTTTCAAGGTACGCACTGTGTTGCTATATCTGCATCAGTTGGACTTACAGGGTCTCATGCGTGCAGGGCACGAAACTAGAGATCGAGTCGGTGCTCCGCGAGACGTGCGACCGAATTCTCGAGGACACGACCATTCCGCGCCAGCGGGCACTACTGCGCGCCGTTGCTTTGCAGCTCCTCGGCGAGGCATACATGAGCGTGCGTAAGGACGAAGACGAGGCTCAGGAGGAGAGCGAGTACGTCCGTGTGGAGACGAAGAACAGCCGCCAGAGGGACTCGTTCCGCCCGCCACCTATGTCTCCGCAGGCCTGAGTTTCCGTGCGTACTCTATGTTCCTACTCTCGGATAGTGTACAGTACCGTTCCTCGTTAGACATGTAGCCATATGCGATGCCATGCATGCTGTTCGCATTCATGATTCTCATGCCGCCGGCTACATACCGGATCCTCGAGATTCTAGTGGTCTTCCTAATATTTCCTTGGAGACACGACTGGGCTATGAAGGTGGGCGAGCATGAAGCGCAGCTTACGAAGTACGAGAGCCTGTGCTTGGCAAGTTGCTGGCAGAGAACGCGTCGGTGGCTGGTCGCGTCGCTTTGAGACTCCGACAGAAACCGCGTTGATCACGTGATAAGCCAGGATCCTAGGACAATAACTACATATATTGTGCGCCCTTGAAGTTGAATCGATCCGCATCTTTGCTTCTCAACCTCCACCACGCCCCTCTATCCATCCGTCTCCCTTGTCTCTACCTCTATGTACTCTGACTGGGAATCAAGCCTCACCGAGCTTTCGTCTGACGAGGATGAATACCTGCCCTCGAACGCGCCTAAGAAGAAGGCGCCACCGCGAAAGGTGAAGACTGAATACAACGTGAGTAGCTCTCACGCGCTCGTGATGGATGTCGTGATTGAACTCGTGTGCGTATCTATGCGTAGGTTACGAATGCCCTCAGGCCATACCGCACAACAACTTACACCGCGAAGAGCCTGTACGGTAGGTGGCGAGTGGGCGTGGCCATTCCTGAGCGGCAGGTGCTAAGTGGGTGGCCTCTTGCAGATCAGATAATCGACAATACTATCCATCTTGATCCCGAGTACCAGAGAGGTGCGCGTTGTCGCGCATACACCACGTTGTCTGTGTGAAGTTAACGTCCTCGGTCAAGACATCGTTTGGAGCGAAGCCAAGCAGTCGGGACTCATAGATTCTCTTTTGAGGAATTACTACATACCCCCTGTACTCTTTGGTGAGTCACGAAGCCATCGTGAATGCGCATTTCTGAACTCGTGGAAAGCGGTGACCACCCATGACGACGGCAGTCACTCCCGTGTATGCATCGACGGCAAGCAGAGGCTAACTTCGATACAACTGTGAGTGTCCTTTCGGATAATGAATAGAACCATCAGACCGCATTATGATCTTCCTCCGCCATTCGGCCTGCATTCAAGAGCTACCGTGTGGTTGAGGTAGACACTTGCACCATTTCGCAACTCCGCCGACGTGCCTCGGTGGTATTCGCATACGATGCACGGTGGCGTGCAACGTTTTAGCAGCTTTTGCGACCTGATACGATTCAGCCAAGTGGAGGTCATCTATGCGCTTCTTCCATTATCTGCGATGTTGAAGTGGATTCGCAAACGCCTGTATGGATTGGCACCGACCGAAGGCACAAAGGCCAGAGTATGTCCTATGTCTTGGTATGGCATCTGCCCACGATTGTGCGCCCACTGCAACAGACACCACGCATCGTCAGTACAGTCCTCATGATTCATGATCTCACAACGTATGCTTCACAGTTTCATGGATGGATTGGTGAGTGCACTGCGACAAGCCTGATTCATGGCTGATGCGGATTCAATTACGTACCACACCGAAGATCCCGCGTGAGTTTCTTTGAGTCCATATCGTTGGTTTCCGGCATATGTCTGACCTTTTCTCAGACAAGGACAAGTATGTTACGACTGTTGGCCCCATCCGAGTGTTTAGCTCACACTGCTAAAGCGTTTCTGGCAAGAAGTACTGGTACAAGCCTGCTGCAGGCGA